CTGCTCCAGAGGTGTGTAATAACATCTCTGAACAAGTTGATTAGAAAATATTTATGAAGAGATATTCTCCTTCAAGGATAGGTCTTTATTTAAAAAGCTAATTAGTTCATTTGTTTTTTTTTTCAAAAAATATTAAAAGCTACTTATTAAATCTCTATAGAGTGGCTGAGTTAGGAGCTTGTAGTGCTAACTGTGTAAATAAATGAGAACAAAGATCATTCCTGTACTATGCTTCACCAACTGCTTTGCTGAAATGGAACAGTAAATGACATATTTTTCCACTTGTATTAACAAAGAAAAATATACTGTTTTTTTGAGCATATGCTATGCCTTTGACAAGCTGATAGTTAAAAGTAGCGAGGGAATACACATGTTAAGTTGGAAACCAGTGTTTTGAAAATGGGAATCTCAATTTCACTGCTGTTCTTTTCTAGTGGTGTTTTTTTTGATGGTCAGTCTTTTTTTTTGTTTTCAGATACACTATTATCTTCATATACTATGCCTTTTGTCTGGTTTTTATGATGTTGCTTCGTCCACTCCTGGTTAAAAAGATTGCCTGTGGTCTTGGAAAATCTGATCGATTTAAAAGCATTTATGCAGCCCTATACTTCTTCCCAATTCTGACAGTACTTCAGGCGGTTGGTGGAGGCCTGCTTTGTAAGTACATTTTCATGTCTAGATGTTACCTTTGGATTTAGCTACAATGCAAAGCTTTTCTCACAAGGTTTTGCCACAACTTATTTGATTTCAGTGATTATCCAGCAGAATTTCATTTTTAAAGCTTTTTACAACATGTTTTGAGATTTACAGTATTTAATGAGCATCACTGACCTGTAAAGGAGTCTTGTTTGCTGTAAACAATTTTATGTTCTTTCATTACTGATTTCATATCACAAAAGACATTCTATAAGTCTATAACCAGAGTACGTTATCCCTTTTCCTTATCTTTAACTGTTGCTTGGTGTTCATTGTGAATAATTGTGCCATGCTTTTCCTTTTCCTCTGTTCGTTTCACATATTGTGTAACACCGTATCATTGCAATGCTTTAATTCCTATTTATCTGAATGCAACTAGCATCTGTCCAGCAAGGATTTAACCCTGGTTCCTTACTTTTTAGTATCTATCTCTTAATGACATCATCTATTAATATGGGAATCAATGACCACTTGTATGCTGTTATTTCCCACTTTGACTTTTCTGCGCCTCATTTGATTCCTTGACTGTATTGTGTTGCCAAACTGTTCGTTCGTCTAAAGGCCTAGCTTCTTCAAACTCACCATTGGAAAGACTGAAGTCATTGTCTTTCTTCCTTGCAATAAAATATACTCCTTTGCCACTGCTCAAACTGTTCAATATTGGCTTTGAGAATTTCCACTTTTATTTTTACAGTACCTCTAGTGTGCAAATGCATGGGTTAGTGTTCTCTGCAAAAGTTTCCCGACTCTGAGCTAGAGTTAGAGATATCGAAGAATGCTTCAGGACTTAACTTGATAGTTACCCAGGAAATGACCTACTAATTCCTGGGTAATGAACAGTTGCTTAGTAGTACAGAACTTAAACTGTATAAAAAGCTTTTGTCTTGCATTCATCAGAACTTGAAACATTATTTATACAGTATGAGAAGAAGGTGCTGCTTGGTTGGAATGTAGTTGGTATGGAAACGTAACAGGAACTAGTAACTGTCATTAGTTTGTTGAGACTTCAACTCAGACCAGACCGGTAGACTCTGATTGGTCAGTATGTTGCGTGGGGCTTACAACAGGGATCGGGAGTCTCCATAACCCTCCCATCAAAGAAAAAGGTGCAATGTATAGACCAATTCCTTTGGCCTACAAAGATCAGTGTCCTGTGAGACAATATATGTAGTTTCTGGTATGCACAAATGAATCCTGCTGCAAACCTGACCCATGACCTTCAGTTGATTATTGGTGTACTTCCTGGCAAAGTCAGAATTATTAAATAATTATGTCCACAGAATTATATTTAACATGGGGCATTTGCAAGCATGGGGCAGGTTGAGTAGCTGGCACACTGCCTGCTGTGGTTGGTCAGAGACATTTAATTTGATATCTGTCATTGAGCCATGTGGCCTACATATCTGGAATCATGCACTACAGGATTAACCTGTTGATAATCTTCTGAATAGGACACTGGCTATTTGCTCACCATATAAGTTTAATGTTACAATGGGGCATACCAAAACTATTCTGCATGATGATGGATATTGTGATCAAATCATCACTCTGCATAATGCACAAACTCATCAAAAGGCCTATGACTGTCATTTGTGCCATGGAGGGATTCGAACCGAACACACGTCAGAACATTATCCTGGGATTTTGGTTTATTCGTTTTGAATGACAGTATCAGAATACTACCTCCCTGTGAGTAGAGCAACAGGTGAAGTGAGCCATACTGTATGCTCCTTTACAGTGAACACAAGTAACATTCTTGAATAACAGGATGCTGCCATCAAGACAAAAAGACATTTTGCCTGCCATCAGACAACAGTAATATGGTGTATGAGTTTCACTGGTGGTGTGTTGACAGATATTTTCCATTGCAAGACCTTGACCAATCAGAGACTACCTGCTGGTCTGAGGTTATTCAGCTAACAACAGGGACTGTTAATTGTTAGTCATTGTGTCTGTATGCTTATCAGCTCCTCCTCCTTGTGCTGTATAAATTGGTGTTCCATTTCTAAATATGGTTTCTTGTATGTAAGATGAGTGTCAACTTTTTGTCTCAATTTAGCAATATTTAAGTCCTGGGTGACTATGTGACAGACCCCTCTCCCAAAATACCTCTTCACCCCTCTCCAGACCTGATCTCCTGGCTACCCATTCTGACCATGCTATGGTGCTCAAGCTCCCCCCTCCAGCCCAAATCCTCAACCACATTAACCGCAACTTCCCCTAGACAATGCCTGACCATCTTTCTTAACAATGTTGTCCTGACCTGAGCCACCTAACTCTAACCCACCTTGAGTCTCCAAACCCACTTAACTCACCCACACTTTAAATTGCAATTATGGCAGCCAGTACCTTAGAAAGGTGATGTGACCAGGTCCCTCCCCATTCACAACCGCTGTGATGAGCTCTTTGATTGAAGAGCAAGAAATTGTGGAGTGATGGTTGGATGGGTATAAGTTCAAATGAAAGTTCAATGTGATTATTGCTCCATAACTACAAGTCCTGTTCTTCTATTCGTTTTTGTTTTTGACCTCTTTATTTCATGGAACCCATAAAATTGCATTTGTGTCTTCCTAAAGTTTATATTTATTCTGCACATTTATGATCTCTGGAATTTAGGTGAGGCAATGGTGACTCTTTCTACTGTCTTCATCTAGGCTGCTCTTGACCACAGCTCCAAAAATAACTGCCCATCTTTCAAGGATCTTACATTTTAGCTCGTTAGAAGTTATGGTTAAACATGAGAAAGGGACACCTCTAAAAGATCAGTTGAAATTTTATCCCACATTTAAATTATTTCAGAGAGCTCTAGATTTCATCTAATGAGTTACCATTTACTTACACCGACATACGTGATTGCTTCAAATGTTTAATTGTACGCAATTTTAAAAATAAGTCAATCAATAATTTATTCTTTGTTTATATTTGCAAAATAAATTTAGTCAGCATTTTAATGTTAAGACATTGTAATGAGAAGCAATTAACTAATTTTTGGTTATTTGTTTTAGATTATGCTTTTCCATACATAATTCTAGTCTTGTCGTTAGTAACTTTGGCAGTATACATGTCTGCTTCAGAAATACAGGTAAGTCGGAATACTCATAACAAAACTATGAGAGAACCTTTGTTAGAAAATTCTGGAATAATGTAGATTTAATGCTGTATAAACTGTCAATGCACCATAGTTTCGAAAACATTTAGTATTTAAATATTTTTAGCTAAATGTGTAATAGAAAATAGTACTGTGACTTAAAACTGATTATCTGCTGCAAAGTTTTTTGCAATATTTATTCAATTTGTGATAACTCGGTTTTAGGGAATCATGTGAATGATAAGTATGATCAGTTCTGCGCTGTTGGTGAAATCCTAAATTGGGGTGGTAGGGGTGTACAATGAAGGACCGTTTGAGGTGCGCATCAAATGTAATGTTATGTTGTTTTGTAACAGCAACAGGGAATAAATAAAATTTTAAAAATAACTAATAAAACGTGTTCTTCATTTATAGACATACAAGGATCTGATCACCAAAAAGAAGAGACTGGTTGTTCTGTTTAGTCATTGGATGTTGCATGCCTATGGAATAATCTCAATTTCAAGATTAGATAAACTGGATCAAGATCTGCCTCTGCTGGCTTTAGTACCAACTCCAGCACTTTTCTACTTGTTAACTGCTAAATATACCGAGCCTTCAAAGATATTGTCGGAAGGTGGCAATGGACATTGAAAAAGAGCATGATACTGTAGAACAAGGGATGTTTGAAACAGATTCTAGCCGTTTGTGTAGGAATCTGTATGATTACAGTATACTTACAATTGCTTGTTCAGTTGATGTGCTGTCTGCTTTATTTATATTAAATGTATATAAAGTTCTATTCACGTGCTTTGATTAAAATAGCATTAAAATGCAGATAAGAAACTTTTATTTCAATAAGTTGAATACATCTCATAACTTCAGTGGATTATATAAAGTATAGATTTCAGCTTCCTTGTCATCCTGTGGGGGAAAATATAAATGGTGAATCTTTTGCAATGATGCAACGTCCAAACCTAATCAACATTCATTTTCATTACTGCGTTTCTAAGCTTTAGCTAATGACAGTGCATTGGAAGATGTTTTTTGATCTCCCTGAACAGTGTGGTGGTAGGTCAGTTGAAAGGGACTGTCTAAATTGCCAATTGGTTAATTGGTTTTGAACTTCCTTCAGAAGCTGTCCATGGTTTTGTTGAATATTAAAATATAACCTATAAGTTGCCACACTAATAATCAGTCCACATATTTTCACTGTTATTCTTACCTATCCATTTTCTAATGGAGCTCCTCTGTCTATATCCATTTAGCTTTCTATCATGAAAGGTTTGGTATTAATTTTTTCTTACATGTAATTAAAACATTTAGATTTTAAATGCAAATACAGGAAGAAGTATATTTTTTGTAAATCTCGATAAATGCTTTAAACAAAAAGATCTGGAGAGACTCACAAAGAGAGACGTATGATATTGCTGGTTAAAAGTCACTAAATATTTTTCAAAACACATGGAATTCAAATTAAAATGTTATTAATGTGACTTAATGATATTTTCTTACCTATATAATGTTAAGTCATTGAGGTGATGTGATTTGTTTCATCATGCATCTTCCCTTTTCTTCTGTGATTCAAAGATAAAATAAAATTTAAAATACGTTTAATCCAACTAAGAAAGTAATTTTAATCAAAGTCCAAATATAGCCTACCAGTAGGATGTGTGGCTCCCACAAAGGATTGCAATTTACTTAAGTACTGTTTTAGCTGATTACTAATATAGCCAACTGTTTGTATTCTGTGGTAGATTTTCCGCATCAGTTCCTGTATTGTATTTAGTACATCCTGTTCACATTCTAAAGACTCCTGCAAAAGAATCATTTGTGAATTCTGTGATAAATATATGCATAAATACAAGTAAAAATCTTTGTTACTCACTACCTTTTGGACACTAGCATCCAATGACCAGCTATTCAGAAGATTATCTAAAAACAAGGGAAAAATAGTATTACATTGCTAGTGTGTGTTAATTGATGTATATTATTCCTGGTAGAATTAAGTGTAGGTAGTCTTTCAGATAATGACAGGATAGTGCATGCATACTGTTTGCGCTGTCAGTATGAACAATAATGACCAAATTATAGATGCCTTTTGCTTGAGATTGGTACGTAAATATAAAAGAGGAAAAGATGACAAAAAAGCTTAAGCATTTAAATTCTAGAACATGTATTGATTTATGAACACAAATTGAAATATTTTAGGAAACTCAAATCTATTTCAAAGTTGGAAAAAAGTTTAACTTGCCATGTGTTAAACAATATGATTTGAATACGAAGGCTGACGTTTCGGGTCCAGACCCTTCTTCAGAAATGGGGGAGGGGAAGGGGGTTCTGAAATAAATAGGGAGAGGGGGGAGGCGGATAGAAGATGGATAAAGGAGACAGACAGGTCAAAGAGGCGGGGCTGGAGCCAGTAAAAGGTGAGTGTAGATGGGGAGTTAAGGAGGACAGGTTAGGGAGGCAGAGACAAGCTGGGCTGGTTTTGGGATGCGGCAGAGGGAGGGGAGATTTTGAAGCTTGTGAAGTCCACATTGATACCATTGGGCTGCAGGGTTCCCAAGCGGAATATGAGTTGCTGTTCCTGCAACCTTCGGGTGGCATCGTTGTGGCACTGCAGGAGGCCCAGGATGGACATGTCGTCTGAGGAATGGGAGGGGGAATTGAATTGGTTCGCGACTGGGAGGTGCAGTTGTTTAGTGCGAACCAAGTGTAGGTGTTCTGCAAAGCGGTCCCCAAGCCTCCGCTTGGTTTCCCCAATATAGAGGAGGCCACAATGGGAACAGTGGATGCAGTATACCACATTAGCAGATGTGCAGGTGAACATCTGCTTGATGTGGAAAGTCTTCTTAGGGCCTGGGATGGGGGTGAGGGGGGAGGTGTAGCACTTCCTGCGGTTGCAGGGAAAAGTGCCGGGTGTGGTGGGGCTGGAGGGGAGTGTGGAGCGGACAAGGGAGTCACGGAGAGAGTGGTCCCTCCTGAAAGCGGATAAGGGTGGGGAGGGAAAAATGTCTTTGGTGGTGGGGTCGGATTGCAGATGGCAGAAGTGTCGGAAGATCCAGAGGTTGGTGGGGTGGTACATGAGGATGAGGGGGATTCTATTTTGGTTGTTATTGGGGGGAGGGGGTGTGAGGGATGAGTTGCGGGAAATGCGGGAGACGCGGTCGAGGGCATTCTCGACCACTGAGTGGGGGAAGTTGCGGTCCTTGAAAAACGAGGACATCCGAGATGTACGGGAGTGGAATCCCTCATCCTGGGAGCAGATGTGGTGGAGGCGAAGGAATTGCGAATACGGGATGGCATTTTTGCAGGAAGGTGGGTGAACGCTCGGTTCGCAATAAACAACTGCACCTCCCAGTCGCGAATCATTTCAACTCCCCCTCCCATTCCTCAGACGACTTCACAAGCTTCAAAATCTCCCCTCCCCCTACCCCATCCCAAAACCAGCCCAGCTTGTCCCCACCTCCCTAACCTGTCCTTCCTCCCACCTATCCCCTCCTCCCACCTCAAGCCCCACCCCCATCTCCTACCTACTAACGTCATTCTGCCCCCTTGACCTGTACGTCCTCCCTGGACTGACCTAACTCTCCACCTACACTCACCTTCACTGGCTCTATCCCCGCCTCTTTGACCTGTCTGTCTCCTCTCCACCTATCTTCTCCTCTATCCATCTTCTATCCGCCTCCCCCTCTCTCCCTGTTTATTTCAGAACCCCCTTCCCCTCCCCCATTTTTGAAGAAGGGTCTAGGCCGGAAACGTCAGCCTTCCTGCTTCTCTGATGCTGCCTGGCCTGCTGTGTTCGTCCAGCTCTACACCTTGTTATCTCAGATTCTCCAGCCTCTGCAGTTCCTACAATCTCTGATTTGAATAAGAACTGACTATAAACTGTAACAATTAAGAGATCTGATGTTTAAACATTGGAACCAAAAAAATTACAACATTGTGTTAACTTTTCAAGAAACAGTTTTGATTTCAGATGATGCACCATAGATGATTTGTAGTTCACTATCCTGTTGGTTCTTTGCTGTGTTTTGCTTTTCTCCATCTTCATTGAGTGAGGCAATGACTCTCACCAGTTGGAAGTTGCACTGTCAATGAAAGATAAGGAAATGTTAATTGAAATACATCGTTATTAATATGGAACAACTTCAATCCAATTAGAGGTGACTGAGTCCTGCACATTTTTGCAGCAAACTTGCTGGAAGTGATTAAGAATGGAAATCCAGACCTGATAGCTAAAATTTCTCAGCTAAAGGCACTGATAGTAACACCTGACTATCATAGCAGTTTTTTTAAATATTGTTGGTTGAGAAAGAGCATGTGCAAAAGTGAAGATGCTTTATTTTACTACATCACACAGAAACATTTCCTCCTTGAAGAAATTCTGCCATATAGATTGATACATGTATAGTAGTTTTCAATAGAAGACACTGCATTGCTAAATGATACTTTACTCACCAGTTTCAGTTTGCAGTTTTCTATCTCAACATGTTCAAGTCTTCTACTTGCTTCATATATATCTACCTCCATGAATTTTAATTGCTCAGCAGTACTTTTAACTTGGTGATAGAGGCTGTTTCGTATTGCAGCTAACAAACGCTTCAGTTGTTGCTGGTGAAAGAAATCAATGCAATTAATGTATTGTGGTATTGATATATTTGCTATTCTTCAATTATCCCAAAATTCACTTCACAAATGTGAAGGTCCAGCAGTTGTTGGATGTGAGAATTGATCATGGAATGGTGCGTTTGGGACTTCCTGAGCATCAAGTCCAACAATTTATTTCTATAACCAGTTCAATTTATGAATCACCAGTGAACAATGAAAATGGAAACAGAATGAGAAATAAAGGAAAAGAAAAATGCAGCGAACTTCTGGAGTGTACCTGTTCAAATGTTTCCTTCTTTGGTCTCCAGAATTGAGTAGTATAGGCTAAATCATAGATGAAACTGGACAGTACAACATGAAATATCTGGAAGGAGCTGAATTTGTCTTAACTGCATAAATCAACTAATTCCATAACAAAGGAGGGAGTCTCCTGGAATCAGAAATAGCACAGTGTGGAGCTGGAGGAACACAGCAGGCCAGGCAGCATCAGAGGAGCAGGAAAGTCGACGTTTCGATTCGGGTCCCTTCTTCAGAAATCTTTTAAACAAATTGGGATGGCCTGATTTTTCTTCAGTTTTGGTCAGGCTAGAGTACTGAACTAGAACAAATGTCATGCCCCCATTTGTCATAAATTACTGTTTTTGCTTTACATACTAATGATGGCTGGCACAAGAAACTTGCCAATATTTTCGAGCAAGCTCTTGTTATAGCTTTTTTACCTAACTAGAATAAATGGTTGGCCATTAACTGATAAATTTGAATGATATTCAGTACACATTCTCATTTGCTGTTCATTACATACTTAATATTTTATATTTGTTTCTTTTAGCTAATTTTTATATTCTGTTATGTAACTTGCTCAAAGTTCTTTAAAATAAACCTATCTATTTTGAAGTGAGGATTAAGATCAAAAGAAGGCTAAGTTTCAAAGTATTTATAACTGACTTAGTCAATGTATAGATTTGGTGTTGCATAGTTTGTCCAATATCAGGTGTCAAGATTTCCATGTGGGTTATCCTGAGCTGCTCCTATAATTTCAGCAGCGGGAGTTTGTATTTACTGCTTTTCTGACATGTCTGCACTGACGATAGGTTCAGCTAGGAAAACACCCTCAAATTCTTAGCCGTTGAGATCTGTAAATTGTCTGCTAAATTACCACGCTAAATTACCAACCTTCATCCTGTCTAAAACTCATTGCATCTGACTAGATGAAGTACAGCACCCTTTGGACCAACTTTCATTTTTACAACTCTTCTGGAAGGATTTTTGTTTGTAATAATTCTCAGCTTCTGGTTTTGTTCATGGTAGCAGTGTGTATTCTTTCACGTCATGCATCTAAATTATTACAAAATCTACCAATGACATGGTGAAGTCTTTGGTGCTGGTCATAAATTTGGATGTTTGATGATCTGTAGCCTGTTTTTCAAGGAAACTGCTAGGGGATTATTCAAATTGACTATGCCAAAAGCTTTCACAGCTCTGTAGACTGCAAATTCCTATTTGCTAACATCTGGGTACTTTTATTAAAATTGGGAGAGCTGCCTCATAGGTTGGTCAAATAACAATTTAGCATAGTGATACAGAAGCATGTCCGTAAGTTGCTGTATCTCAAAGAAAGTTGACATGCACAGAAAGCAAGCAATTAGGCAGATAAATGACATGTCAGGTTTTTTTATTGTCAAGAGATCAGCATTTGAGAAATTTAATTTATTCCAATTAAACAGGGTATTGATCAGGATACACCTGGAGTCCTATGCAGTTTTCATTATTTTCCTTAGAAGGAATACAATGAATGCTCTCTAGACTGGTTCCTGGTATGAAGGGACTAATCAATGAGCAGAGATTGAGTAGACTGGACCTGCGTTGACAGGGAAGATACTGAGAAAATGTTTCCTCTGGTTGGGGGATCTAGAACACAGAGTCATGCTCAGAATATGGATTGGTTGTTCAGCATTACAGTTCTTCATTCAGTTTGTTGGCATGGAGGTTTACTTGTGCTACTGGGCCAGTTTAAACTAGTATGATTGTGAGAATGGTATCCTGAATGTAGACATAGGAGACAAGCAAGAAAATTGGAAATAGTAAAAGAAGAAGCTAATATAGAAGTTCAAGAAATCAGGGGAAAGAGACAGTCATCAATGGAGTTGCTTGGTGATTAGTGGTATATACTTCAGCGCAAGGAATCGAATGAATAGGGCAGATGAGCTGAAGGCACTGACAGAATTGCAAGCATGTTATACCCGTTACTGACATGTCACTTAAGGAAGGGTAGGAATGACAATTCGTTTTTTGGACAGGACAGAATGGCTGATTCTTTTTTCTAAAAGGAAGGTGTTGCAATATTGGTTAAATATTGAGAAGGGATAATATGGCAGATCAAGCATTAACTATAAGCCCCATTGGTTGAATGGAGGAGCACAGCATGGTGGCTCGGTGGTTAGCACTGCTGCCTCACAGCATTAGGGACCCAGGTTCGATTCCAGGCTCAGGAGACTGCAGAGTTTGCACGTTCTCCCTCTGTCTGCATGGGTTTCCTCCTGGTGCTCTGGTTTCCTCCCACATCCAAAAATGTGTTGGTTAGGTGGATTGTCTATGATAAATTGCCCATTGTGTGCAGGCTAGGTGGATGAGTCATGGAAAATGCAGGGTGACAGGGATAGGGTAGGGGGGTGGGTTTGAGTGGGATGCTCTTTGGAGGGTCAGTATGGACTTGATGGACCAAATAGCCTGCTTCCACTCTGTAGGGATTTGATGAAAAGAATTGGTCATTACACTGCTGGGAGTATACACTACAAATGTCCAAACATTTAAAAAACCAATGAGCAAATTGTTAAAAAGATAGAAACGAATGGGCAGTAAATACAGGGGAGTTCTTAAAATATATTCAGCAAAGCTCTTTAGCCCGTACATGGCAAGACCAATGAGGCAAATGGCACATCTGGTCTTGGTTTTTAGGAGTTGACTTGGGGTAGGTTAAAGGGATATCATAGAATCATAGAATCCCTACAGTGTGGAAACAGGCCCTTCGGCCCAACCAGTCCACACCGAACCACAAAGCATCCCACCCAGACCCACCCTGCTATAACCCACCTAATCTACACATCCCTGAACACTACGGGCAATTTAACGTGGCCAATCCACCTAGCATGCACATCTTTGGACTGTGGGAGGAAACCGGAGCAACTGGAGGAAACCCACGCAAACACGGGGAGAACGTGCAAACTCCACACAGACAGTCACCCGAGGGTGGAATCGAACCCGGGTCCCTGGCACTGTGAGGCAGGAGTGCTAACCACTGAGTCACCGTGCGGCCCCAAATGAGAGAACTAAATATCAATGAGAAAGCATATTAGTCATAATGATAATTCAGTTAGATTGAGAGTAGTTATGGAAAAGACTAAGATTAAAAATAAAAGTTTTAAATTGAGGAAAGAACAATTTCATTATACTAAGATGTGGACTTGACAGAACTACTTGGAGGCAAATCAGTAGTCAGAGCTGTGGACTGTATTTGGGGGTGGGGGGAAGCTAAAGAGGGTTAACAATAAATGTGTTCTCAAAATATAAAATGGCTTGACAGCAACAGGATGGAAAGTTGCATCGATGGTGCTATAAAGTGGCATTTGGTCATCAGTTGACTGCTCACTATTTCTCAGTTTGAGTTTGAACAAGTCTACTTAGTGTTAAAGACTATTACAGCCTTAGTCCAAATATGGGTAGAAGAGATAAATTACAGATGTGTGATTACCACTGACATCAAGGAAACCTGTCAAGTTGAAGCCAATAGGGTTGAATGTAAGAACTTTCTATTGGCTTCAGCCATAGCTAGCACAAAGGATGCTGCTTATATTTCTCGAAGGCTGAACATTTTAACCCAAGCATATCAATGTAGGAATCTCAGGACAGTGCATTTGGTTCGACTATCCTTAGCTGCTTTATCAATAACCTTCCCTCTAACCTAAGTAGATATGCTTGATGATGACTGAACTGCTGTGTTCACTTTCATTAACAATGCTTCAAATAATTAGTACTGGTGAAACTGTTTGTTTACTGTGACTTGATGATTCTCAGGCTGCAGAATCATTCCAGACAAAAGACTCTAAATTTAAATTATTATATAAATAGGCACATAACTAATATTACAATAACAAAGGTTTAAGTTAACTGCACATTTTCAATGTTACTCAACAGTTGTAATATGAAAGTTACCTTAGATGAAAGGATCATTTCAGTTTTTGTCTTTATCCGAGTAATTGCATTATCAAGTTCATTTTTCTCATTTTTTTGAACTGTAAAATGATGAAGTCATGTTTAGTTGTAATATTTAATGGCTCGAATCAAACCTTCATTTCAAGTTCTGGTTAAATATGCTAATTTATGCTCTAACTTGACAAGAATGTTATTTTCCATGTTATATTTTCCTCTACACAGTATGGATACAATATAATTCTTAGTGTATGGGATTTATGGAAGTACAAAATTCATTCTCTATTTCTGGCTGTCTATTGCAGTCTATGAACACCTCACACTTCTAAGATTTTGAATATGAAGTTTTTATTGAAACCATTTGTAAACTCAGTTTGGTTAGTGATTCCTCAAGAGGTCATTATATTAAAACAGGTAACATGTATAAACAAGATTTGAAAAGAAAATCAAAGAAAATAATTTTCCATATTCTGTAAAAACCAGTACAAGAAACCCCTCCTCCACGACCTCCAAAAGCTTCTTAATATAAGCAATTCATTTTGCGAAACAACCTGACAACTGTATAAATACAAGCCCATCTTAACTTCATGGGTGACATAGTGGTTCAGTGGTTAGTGCTGCTGCCACACAGTGTCAGGGACCCAGGTTCAATTCCAGCCTTGGGTGACTGTGTGGAGTTCGTGCATTTCCCCCACAGTCCAAAGAGGTGCAGGTTAGGTGGATTAGCCATGGTAAATGCAAGGTATGGAACTAGATGGGATGCTCTTCTGAGGGCTAGTGTGGGCTTGATGGACTGAATGGCCTGTTTCCACACTGTAGGGATTCTATGAAATAAGTTTAAGGATAATCTGAAGAGTGTCTACTAGTATATTGAGAGCAACTAGAGAGAGTAGGCCGTCCCTTAAAGATCAAAGAGGTTGTCTTTGTGTTGAGCCTCAAGAGATGAAAGAGATATTAAATGAATATTTTGCATCAGATTTTACTGTGGAGAAAAGAAATGGAGGCTAGAGAACTCAGGGAGATAAATATTGATGTTTTGAAAACAGTTTACATTACAGGAGAGGAAGTGTGGAAGTTTTGGAAAATATAAAGACGGATAAATCTCCAGGACCTTATCTAGTGTAACCCAGGACTTTGTGGGAAATTAGGAAGGAAAGTGTAGGGCCCCTTGCAGAAATATTTGTATCATCTATCTCTAATTCAGTGGCGGGAGTGGTGAGAGCGCAAGCTGGGGGCAGCTGGGTAAGTGAACTATTATATTCAGGCAGTGGTTAAACCCGAAACACTACACATGTAGTGTCTCCCACTCATCCTCCTCCTCTAACCAAAAAAAAAAGACTGTGTGGAGGGTCGGTCAAGTAAGCTTTTTTTCCTTTATTTCTTTTGGCAATCTAGAGTAGAGGGAATGAAAGCTAGGGCAGTTGCATGCTCCTCTAGTAGGATGTGGGAGGTAAGGGCCACTACTAGTGTCCCTTCTGACTTCACCTGCAAGAAGTGCACCCAACTCCAGATCCTCACAAACCACGTTAGGGAACTGGAGCTGGATGAACTCCGGATCATTCGGGAGGCTGAGGGTATGATAGATAAAGAGTTATAGGGAGGTTGTCACACCCAAGTTACAGGATAAAGGTAGCTGGGTGACTGTCAGGAGGGGGAAAGGGAATAAGCAGACAGTGCAGGGATCCCCTGTGGCTGTTCCCCTCAATAATAAGTATACCGCTTTGATAAGTATACTGTTGGAGGGGGGACCTACCAGGGGAAAGCCATAGTGGCCAGGTCTCTGGCACTGAGCCTGGCTCTGTGGCTCAGAAGGGAAGGGGGGAGAATAGGAGGGCGATAGTGATAGGAGATTAAATGGTTAGAGGAACAGACAGGAGATTCTGTGGTCCCAAGCGAGACTCCGGATGGTATGTTGCCTCCCGGGTGCCAGGGTCAGGGATGTCTTGGATCGACTCAACAGGATTCCTAAGGGGGATGGAGAGCAGCCAGAAGTTGTGGTACACATCGGTAACAATGATATAGCTAGGAAAAGGGATGAGGACCTGAAAAGTAAATATAGGGAGTTAGGTTGAAAGCTAAAAGGCAGGACAAACAGAGTAGTAACCTTAGGATTACTACTGGTGTCATGGGCTAGTGAGGCTAGGAATAGACAGCAAATGCAGCTGAACACGTGGCTACAGAGCTAGTATAGGAGGGAGGGCTTCAGATATGTGGATCATTGGGATACCTTTTGGGGAAGATGGGACTTGTGAAAGATAGACGGGTTGCACCTGAACTGGAGGGGCACCAATATCCTGGGTGGGAGGTTTGCTAGAGCTCTTCGGGAGGGTTTAAACTAGTTTGGCAGGGGGATGGGAACCAGAGCTATGGATCAGAGGATGGGGTAGCTGCTGTACAGGCAGATACAGCATGCAGAGAGTCTGTGAGGAAGGATAGACAGTTGATAGGGCAAAGTTACAATTAGTGCAATGGGTTGAAGTGTATCTATTTTAATGCAAGAAGTGTTAGGAATAAGGGTGACAAACATAGAGTATGGATCAGTACTTCGAGCTATGCTGCTGTGGCCATTATGGAGACTTAGATATCACAGGGGCAGGAATGGTTGTTGGACATTCCAGGATTTAGATGTTTCAAAAGAAATGGGGGTGGGGGGATGGGGGTGTAGGTAAAAGAGGTGGGGGAGTGGCATTGCTAATTAGGGATGGTATCACAGCTGCAGAAAGGGAGGTCATTGAGGAGGGTTTGTCTACTGAGTCAGTATGGGTGGAAGTCAGAAACAGGAAGGGAGCAGTCACTCTATTGGGAGTTTTCTATAGAAAACGGTGTCAGGAATGATTTCTGACTCAATATGTAGATAGGCCGACTAAAGGGGAGGCCATATTGGATTTGGTGTTTGGCAACGAACCAGCCCAGGTGTCAGATCTCTCGGTGGGAGAACATTTTGGTGACCTTTACTATAGTCATGGAGAAGGATAGCAGATGGTATGTGAAAGTATTTAATTGGGGGAGGGGGAATTACAATGCTATTGGACAAGAACTGCGGAGCATAAATTGGGAACAGATGTTCTCAGGAAAATGCATGACAGAAATGTGGAGGTTGTTTAGGGAGCACTTGTTATAAATACTGGATAGGTTTGTCCCACCTTGGCAAGGAATGGATGGTAAAGTGAAGGAACCTTGGATGACAAGACATATGGAACATCTATTCAAGAGGAAGAAGGAAGCTTACTTAAGGTTGAGGAAGCAAGGATCAGACAGAGCTCTAGAGGGCTACAGGTAGCCAGGAAGGCACCGAAGAATTTTTTTTTAATTCGTTAATGGGATGAGGACGTTGCTGGCTAGGCAGCATTCCTAATTGCCCAGAGGGCAGTTCAGAGTCAACCACATTGCTGTGGTTCTGAAGTCACATGTAGGCCAGACCAGTTAAGGATGGCAGTTTCCTTCCCTAAAGGACATTAGTGAACCAGATGGGTTTTTCCGACAATCAACAACGGATTCATGGTCATCATTAGACTCTTAATTCCAGATATTTATTGAATTCAAATTCCACCATCTGCTGTGGTAGGATTTGAACCCAGGTCCCCAGAATATTATCTGGGTCTCTGGATTAACAGTCTCCAGCAATAATACCACTAGGCCATTGCCTCCCCTAGAATTAGGAGAGTTAGAAGGGGGTATGAAAAAGCCTTGACGGATAGGATTAAGGAAAACCCGAAGGCGTTCTATACTTATGTGAGGAACAAGAGGATCGCCAGAGCGAGGGGAGGGCCGATCAGGGACAGTGGAGAGAACTTGTGCGCGGACTAGGAGGAGGTAGAAGAGGTCCTTAGTGAATACTTTGCTTCAGTATTCACCAGTGAGAGGGACCTTGACATTTGTGAGGACAGCGTGAAGCAGGCTGATATACTTCAGGTCATGCCTCACAAGCCTTATTGAATTCTTTCAGGATGTGACAAAACACATTGATGAAGGTAGATCAGTGGATGTGGTGTATATTGATTTTAGAAGGCATTTGATAAGCTTCCCCATGGTAGGCTAATTTAGAAAGTAAGGAGGCATGGGATTCAGGGAAATTTGGCTGTCTGAATACAGAATTGGCTGTCCAAGAGAAGACAGAGGGTGGTAGTAGATGGAAAGTATTCAGCCTGGAGCTCGGTGACCATGGTGTTCCGCATGGATCTGTTCTGGGACCTCTGCTCTTTGTGATCTTTATAACTGACTTGGATGAGGAAGTGTAAGGGTGGGTTAGTAAGTTTGCTGATGACATGAAGGTTGGTGGAGTTGTGGATAGTGTGAAGGGCTGTTGTAGGTTGCAACGGGACATTGACAGGATGCAGAGCTGGGCAAAGAAGTGGCAGATGGAATTCAACCTGGAAAACTGTGAAGTGATTCATTTTGGAGGGTTGAATTTGAATGCAGAATACAGGGTCAATGGCAGGATTCTCGGCAGTATGGAGGAACAGAGGGATCTCGGGGTCCACGTCCATAGATCCCTCAAAGTTGCTACCCAAGTTGATAGGGTTGTTAAGAAGGCTTTCATTGGCAGGGGAATTAAGTTTAAGAGCTGCAAGGTTATGCTGCAGCTCTATAAAATGCTGATTAGACCACACTTGGAATATTGTGTTCAGTTCTGGTCACCTCATTATAGGAGGGATGTGGAAGCTTTAGAGAGGGTGCAGAGATTTACCAGGATGCTGCCTGGACTGAAGGGCAGGTCTTATGAGGAAAAGTTGAGGGAGCTAGGGCTTTTCTCATTGGAGTGAAGAAAGATGAGAGGTGACGTGATAGAAGTGTACAAGATGATGAGAAGCATAGATAGAGTGGACACCCAGAGACTTTTTCCCAGGGTGGAAATGACTATTACGAGGGGGCATAAATTTTAAGGTGATTGGAGGACTGTATAGGGGAGATGTCAGAGGTAGGTTCTTTATGCAGGGAGTGGTGGGTGCATGGAATGCGCTGCCGGCAGTGGTGGTGGAGTCAGATATATCAGGGACATTTATGTGACTATTGGATAGGCACATGGATGATAGTAAAATGTAGAGTATGCAGGGTAGTTTGATCTTAGAGTAGGATAATAGGTCAGCACAACATCGTGGGCCGAAGGGCCTGTACTGTGCTATACTGTTCTATGTTCTATAAATATGGGCGAGGTGTCGAATGACTGGAGAGTGGCTAATATTGTGCCTTTGTTTAAGAAGGGATGTAAGGATAAGCCTGGGAATTGTAGAACTGTGAGTCTAACTTTTGGTGGTGCGTAAGTTGTTGGAAGTGATTCTGAAAGATAGGATTTATATGCACTTGGAGAGGCAAGGAATGATTAGGGATGGTCAGCATGCTTTTATGCAAGGGAAGTAGTCTCTCTCAAACTTGATTAATTTTCTTTGAGGAAGTAACCAAGAAGATTGATGAGCACAGAGTGGTAAACATTAGTAAAGCCTTTGACAAGGTTCCACATGGTAGACTAATTAGCAAAGTTAGATCACATAGGATTCAGGGTGAGCTTGCCATTTGGATACAAATTGGCTTAATGGCAGGAGAGAGAGTGTGATGGTGGAGGGTTGTCTTTCTGATTGGAGGTCTGCGACTAGTGGTGTTCCACAAGGATCGGTACTGGGTCCACTTCTGTTTGTAATTTCTATAAATGATTTAGATGAGAATATTGAAGGCATGGTAAGTTTATAAATGACACAAAGATTGGTAGTATAGCAGACAGTGAAGAAGGTTATCTAAAATTACAAGATAGATCTTGATCAACTGGGTTTATGGGCTGAAGCGTAGCAAATGAAGTTTAATTTGGATACATGTGAGATATTGCATTTTGGTAAAACAAACAAAGGTAAGACTTATACAATTAAAAGTAGGTCCTTGGTCAGTGTTGTAGAACATAGACACCTAGGGGTTCAGGTACATAATTCTTTGAAGTTTGCATCACATATAGATAGGGTGGTTAAGAAGGTGTTTAGCATGCTTGCCTTCATTGCTCAGACATTTGAGTGTAGGAGTTCAGACATCATATTAAGGATGTAAAGGACTTCTGGAGTATAGTGTCCAGTTCTGTCTCCCTGTTATAGGAAAGAAATTACTAAGCTGGAGAAGTTTCAGGAGAGGTTTACTAGGATGTTGCTGGGACTGGAGGATTGAGTATAAGGAGAGGCTGGATTGGCTGGGACTTTTTTCACTGGAGCGTAAGAGCTTGAGAAATGACCTTATAGAGGTTTATAAAGTAATGAGGGGTATAAATAAGGTGGCAGATGTCTTTTACCTAGGGTGGGAGATTTCTACACCAGGGGGCATATTTTTAAGGTGAGAGGAGAAAGATTTAAAAAAGACACAGGGGGCAATTTCTTTACACAGAGTGGTTTGTGCGTGGAATGAACTTCCAGAGGAAGTGCTGGATGAGGGTCCAGTTACAACATTTAACAGACATTTAGATATGTACATGTGTAAGAAATGGTGAAAGAATCATCCAAAGACAGCCTTTACTTAGAATTTACAGAGTGAAACATTACAGATAAATATTTACTGACTCCACTAAACTCACATCAGTGTCATTGTGTGCGTGTTCAACTAACTATTCAATCAATGCTCTCTACCTGTTTGTACCTAATTTCAACTGATTAATTCATACCCTTGGAAAAGTGATGAGCCACCTTCTTGAATCATTGCAGTCCATGTGGCGAAGAACTATATACAGAACTGTTAGCTCAAGAGTTCTATGATTTTCATCCAGTAACTACAGGAATGAAGATACACTGCAGTCAGGATGGTGTATGACTTCAAAGGGAAATTACCTGCTGCCCTTATTCTTATAGGGATAAGAGTTTGAGGGTTTGGAACATGTTATTGAAGTAGCCTTGGAAATTCACTGCATTGTGTCTAATGCATGGGGTATGAGTATAAAAATAGGCATGTTCTTGGGATTGTGTGCAGTTTTGACCTCCCTACTGAGGGATACACTTGTATTGGAAGCAATTCACAGAAAGTTCATTACGTTGATTCCTGGGATGAAATGATTACCTTATGGGGAATGATTGAGTAGGTTGGGTTGCATTAATTGGAGTTTTGAGGAAGCAGAGGTGATTTTAGTGAAACATGCAAGGTTCTGAGGGGGCTTGGCAGGACAGATGCAGATAGATGGGGGAGTTTTGATCTAGAGGGCACAGTTTAAAAAGCAGGGTCTTCCATTTAAGACTAAGATGATGAGAAATTTCTTCTCTTAGATGATCATCAATCTTTGGATTTCTTATACCCAGAAAGCAGTTGGGCCTGGGCCATTGAACATATTCAAGATTGAGTTAGAGAGATTTTTGATCTACAAGGGAGTCAAAGATTATGGCAATTTGGAGGTAAGGCCAAAATCTGATCAACTGTAAATTTACTAAGTGGCTCAGTAGACAGGAAGGGCTATATGTTCTCCTCTTTCCCATATTTCGTGTGATGATAAGCATGTAACCACAGTGCGCTGATGGTGGAAAGCATGAAAGTTTAAGGTGGTGGATGGAGTGTCAATTAAGCATGCTGCTTTCTTCTAGATGGTATATAACTTCGAGTGTTGTTGGAGCTGTAATCATCCAAGTAAGTGTACAGTATTCTATCGTGTTACTAATTTCTGCATTATAAATGGTGGATAAATTTTGGGGAGTTAGCATGTGAGTTGGCATTGCAAAATGGTCTCTGACCTGCTCTTGTATCACTATATTTAAACACTGGGCTGGTTCAGTTTCCAGACAATGGTGACCCCCTTGGATGTTGATGGTGGGATATTCAGCAATAAAAATGCTGTTGAATGCCATGGGGAGATGCTCAGTTTCTTTCTTGCATCACTTGATTGGTGTCCCATCCACCATCTGAAATCATTCACTCCATCTGCCGTCAGCACATGGTGGAAACTGCGTGTATGTTATTCAACATTTACTGCAGCAACTACTTAAACCTCCTTCTAAATTCACAGACTTCACCATCCAGAAGAACAAAGGCAACAGGTGCACCAAAATACCATATGGAAGTTTTCCTTGAAGAGGCACACTATTCTGACTTAGACTCCTAGTCACAGAGATGTACAGCACAGAAACAGACCCTTCAGTCCAAACATCCATGCCGAGCAGATATCCTAAATTTATCTAGTTCCATTTGCCAGCATTTGGCCCATATTCTTCCGAACCCTTTCTATTTGTGTATCCTTCCAGATGCTTTTTAAGTGTCGCAATTGTAGTAACTTCCACCACTTCCTCTGGCAGCTCATTCTACACACGAGCCTCTGCATGAAAAAGTTGCCCCTTAGGTCCCTTTTAAATTTTTCCCCTCTGACTTTAAACCTATGCCCTCTAGCTTTGGGCTCACCTACTCTGGGAAAGAAGACCTTGGCTATTTACCCTATCCAAGTCTACCATGATTTTATAAACCTTTATAAGGTCACCTCTCAGCCTCTAACGTTCCAGGGAAAATAGCCCCAACCTATTCAGTCTCTCCCTATAGTTCAAACACTCCAATCTCAGCAACAGCCTTGTAAGTCTTCTATGAACTCTTTCAAGTTTCACAACCTATAAGCGAGGAGACCGGAACTGAATGCAGTATTTCAAAAGTGGCCTAACCATGTCTTGTACAGCCTTAATATCAGATTCCAACTTCTTTGTACTGACCAATAAAGGCAAGCTTACCAAATGCCTTCTTCACTACTCTGTCTGCCTGCAACTCCACTTTCAAGGAACTATGAACCTGCATCCCGAGGTCTCTCCATTCAGCTACACTCCCCAGGATCTTATACACTTAATGGTAAGTCCTGCCCTGATTTTCCTTACCAAAATGTAATACCTCTTATTTATCTAAATTAATCTCCATCTGCCACTCCTCAACCCATTGGCCCATCTGATCAAAGTCCCTTGTACTCTCTAATAACCTTCCTCATTGTCCACTACTCCACTAATTTTGATGTCATCTGCAAACTTACTAACCATACCTCCTATATTCACATCCAAATTATATAAATGATAAAAAGCAGTGGACCCAGCATGGATCCTTGTGGCAGATTGCTGGTCACAGGCCTCCAGTCCAAAAAACAACCCTCCACCACCTTGTCTCCACCTTTAAGCCAATTCTGTATCCAAATGGCTTTCCCTGGATTCCATGTGATCAAACTTCACTAACCAGTCTGCAGTGTGAACCTTGCTGAAGTCCATATAAACAATGTTTACCACTCTGCCTTCTTCAATCCTCTTCATCACTTCTTCAAAAATTTCAAGTTAGTGAGACATGATTTCCCATGCACAAAGCCATGTTGACTATCCCTAATCAGTCCTTGCCTTTCCAAGTACGTGTAAATCCTGTCCCTCAGAATTCTCTCCAACGACTTGCCAACCATTGACATAAGGTTCATTGGTCCATAGTTCTCAGGCTTTTCCTTACCACCTTTATTAAGTAATGGCACCTTACCACTGGCTATCAATGATGTAAATATCTCAGCAAGGGACCCAGCAATCACTTCCCTAGCTTCCCACAAAGTTCTAGTGTACACCTGATCAGGTCTCTTGGATTTAATCAAATTTATGCATTTCAAGACATCCAGCATCACCTCCTCCTCTAATATGGACAAGATAGCACTATTTATTTCTCCAAGCTTCCATATCCTTCTCTACAGTAAAAACTGATGCAAAGTACTCATTCAGTATCTCCTGCAATTCCACACATAGATGGTCTAGTTGATCTTTAAGGAGCCTTACTCTCTCCCTAGTAGAATCTCTTTGGATTCTCCTTAAACCTATTTGCCTTCTTATTGTATCACCATTCTTTCACTGCTATTCAGTCAAAAACCTGGAACTTCCTATCTAACAGCACTGTGGATGTACCTATACTAGATGGACTGTAGTGATTCAAGAAGTCAACTCACCATTGCCTTCTCAAAGGCAAATAAGGATGGATAACAAATGCTGCCCTTGCCAGAAATGCTCAGTCCCATGAAAGAATAAAAATGAACTATTATTGATACTAGCAAAAGCCATAATTACCTTACCTTCACATTCTTTATGTAGTTCATCACAAGCTGCTGACTCTTCAGCAAGCATGGATTCCAGAATCTTTTGGATGGATATTTTTTTCTGTAGTTCCTCTTTCACCTGCTTTATAGTTCTATTTAAATTTTCAATTTCATTCTTTTGAAGTGAGAAATAGAAGTTCACAGAACACTTGTTATGCTTGTGCTTTATGCACATGTAAGTATAAAAACAGGTAAATGGGAACATAGTTAACTTACATTTCAATTGATAATATTGATATTTTAGAATACATTACCAACTGAATTTTTAAAACTAGTTGGATTCAAATGTTCAACATGGCACATTTACAGTGGATGTACTTGAGTACCAAATTACTGATCCTTGTGGTTTCTAAATATATACAGTTACTTACATCCTTATGTTGATTTCTGTAGGGTAAATATTCACCATTTGATATGTTCCAGGTAATAATTCTATAATAGTAATTCTATAAGAATTCTCCCTTCTATTTGTTTAGAATCAGAGAAACATTAAAAAGAACACCGGATGTTAGTTTTTTGCAGTCTGTCATGCCTTTCCTTGCTCGTATGAGTGTGCTTCCATTACTGTTTTGTTTTAATTAACAAGCAGCAATTAAAGATGCATACTTGAGTATCCTATGTACACTTTCAAAACATCTAAAAATTGCTAGCTATGTGAATGTATGCAAGCCTAGACTGAAATATCCATTTAGAATATGTGAAATAATATGTCAAATAAATTGCAATCAGCAGCCATCAAAAAGCACAGCCTGAGAAATAGTAAGCAAGATATATTTTACCTTCAGTTGTTTGAATTCTGCTAACAAATGTTCTTCCTTGCTGCCATATGCTGCTTTTTCTTCTGCCAGTTGTCGTTTAAGAGCCACAATCTTCTCAGTATATATATTAATCTCCAACTGTAGTCTCTTAATCTGATGTTAAGAATAAAACAGTGGTTAAAAAATATCACTTTGTCCACAATGATCTTCTAAACAAAGATACATGTTTATAAGGCTCTATTGACCAAAAATTGAACTGGAATGGCTATAAACAGGAACAGGTCAAAGGTTAGGGATTCTATGGTGAATAACTTACCATCTGGCTCCTCAAGACCTGTCCACTGTCTATATGGTAAAAGTCATGAGTGTGGTGGAATTTTCTCCACTTGTCTGGCTGGATACCGCTCCAAGAACACTCGAGGAACTTAGCACCATCACAGATATAGGATTTGTTTAATTGGCACGCCACCTAATACCTGTAACATTTATCCATTCACCACTAATGTATTGTGGCAGCGCTGTCTACCAACTACAAGATGTGCCAGAACAACTTAATCAAGCTCCTTGATTGCATCTTCTAACTCTGTGACTGCTACCACCTTAGAAGGATAAGGCCAGCATATACATTAGAATATCACCAGTAGGTTCTCCTCCAAGCCACACACCATCCTGACTTATTACCATTCCTCACTGTCGTTGGGTCAAAATCCTGGAATTCTCTCCCACATCACATGCACTGTTGTGGTTCAAGAATACAGATCACCGCTACCTTCTCAAGGGCAATTAGGAATGGATATTAAATGCTTGCCTCGGCTGCAAACCCCAAATCACTCTATCCATTGCAAACTCTACAGCAAAAGTTAATAATTATTTCCAAGTAACATATTGAAACATTGTTATCTGGGGTTATTCAGATACCTTACATATATTGACACCTATTATCATATTCTCACCACACAACAGTGCACAATTGGTGACGACTACACATGCAAAAAGATCAGATTGATAGACTTTGGACTCATTTTTGTCTTCAAGAATAACTATCTTGGCCAGAAATCTGTGTTTTTCTCTTTTTCCTGAAAAGTCTGTGGATCTTTTGGAGTATTTGGAGGCATAAACATTAACATAAATTGTGTGTTAATCAATTCTGCATTTTTGTTTTAAAATAAATAGATATTTTTCATTTATCAATGAAACCTCGCTGATGGACCTTTTCATTCTAAATCTAATACAAAGAAACATATTGGGACTTCAATACAATATCTATATTTTATGTTACAACCTGTGTAGTGGGATTACAGTGATAGTGCAGTTCCCCCAATTCCCTCACAACACTAGCTAGTCATTTCAATACAATTATACCACTGACAGATCCCTGAAAAAGTGAAAAATTGACTATGATCTGTCCATAAAAAAGCAGAAGAGCTACAACCTTGCCAATTACTGCCCCATCAGCCTATTCTGATGGAAGGTGTCGTTATCCAGCAGCATTTTTCAATAACTGCTCACTGAAATGTTCAGTTTGTGTTCTGCTAAGACCACACAGCTCCAAAGCTCACTATGGCTTTGGTCTAAAAGTGCACTGAAGAACAGAATCCCAGAGATGAGGTACCAGTAAAATTCAAGTCAATGGGAATCAAGGAAGAAGAAATTTCCACTGACTTTAGTCATGCCTAGTACAAAGAAAGGCCAGTGGCCTGAAACACTAGCACTATTTCTTTCCACAAATGCTGCCCAATTTGCTGAGTATGTCCAGCATTTTGAGTTTAAATGTTGATTTCCAGCAAATGCAGTATTTTGTTTTTGATAAGAAAATTAGTTGTTGGAGGCAATTGTTCAATCTCAAGATATTGCTACATGAGTTCCTCAGGACATTGTCCTTGGTTCAATAATCCTTAGCTGTCATCAACAACCTTTCTTTTACATCAGGTTAGGAATGGGGATGCTCACCAATGATGATTCCATTGTATTCAGTTCAGTTTAATTCAGAGATAGTAGGAACTGCAGATGCTGGAGAATCTGAGATTACAAGATGTAGAGCTGGATGAACACAGCAGGCCAAGCAGCATCAGAGAAGCATCTGAAGAAGGGTCTAGGCCCGAAACGTCAGCTTTCCTGCTCCTCTGATGCTGCTTGGTCTGCTGTGTTCATCCAGCTCTACACCTTGTTATCCCAGTTTAATTCACAAGTCTTCAGGTAATGAAGTAGTCCTTTCATGCATGCAACAAGATCTAAATAATGTTCAAGCCAAATAAGTGGCAATAATATTTGCACCACAAACACCAGGCAATGATCATCTCCAATAAGAAAGTGCCAAAACACCTTTTCTTGACATTAAACATTATCACCATCGTCCTAATTCTTATGTAACATCATTAGGGTTACCACTGATGACCAGCAACATAGCTATAATAGCTACATGAATGTTGTGGATGGGATTGAGTCTTCTGCAGCAGTATACTCCGCTATGGACTCCCCAGAACCTTTCTGTCATCCACAGTTAGCACAAGTCAGGCAGACAATGGAATCTTTTCAACTTGTCTGGCTGAGTGTGGCTCCACCTTTACCTGTGATCTATACTACCTACAAGAGATATTACAATAACTCATTAATGTTTCTTTGACAACACCACCTAAAGCAATTACCTCTACCATCTAGAAGGATAAAAGTAGCAGGCACTCCCATGCCCACTTCCAAGTGCCGCACCTTCATAAATCAGAAGTGGTATCACCATTCTGCATTGCTGTTATGTCAGAATGCTCGAACTCAATACTAAACAGCACTGCGGGAGTACTTTCACTGCATGAACTGCAGCAGTTCATGAAGATGACTCAACACTACCTTCTCAAAGTGCAATAAATACCAGAAGATTCCATATCTCATGAATAAATAAAAGAAAAATCCCATACTTCCGGAAGCAATCCTTCACGTTTCTTCTTCAAGATCTTCATATGCATACTCAAGTGGGTTAGGTAATCCTCAGTAGTTGCTTTGATGCGCATAATATTTTTTGAGATCGCTTCTCTTTTATTTTGGAAAGCTCCTCTATTTGTTAAACATAAAGGTAAATATAAGCAATCGTTCAATAAGAAATTATATTATTGCATTTTCCTTAAATTAAGTAATTAAACCTACATTTTTCTATTATCCCTCTCAACATGAGTTTATAAACAATTAAGCAGACACACCCTGATTTTTAACCCCATGGCTACGTTATGGGCTGGTGGTTCCATCTGCAGGTGCCAGGGGAATCTGTTGTGGGGCCACCTGCTGGAGGGAAAGGAGGTTGCGGAGGGAGGAGGAAAAGAAATGCAAAGGGGTTGAGAGAAGGCTGCAGAGGGGGCAAGTAAGGGAGATTGCAGACTCTGGGGGCAGGGAGGGGAAGCTGCAACGGCTGGAGAAAGATGCTGCAAAGGCAGGAGAGGCAGACTGCAAGAGGTGAGAGAGGGAGGATGTAAGGAGTGGGAGAAGGAGGCTGCAACAAGGGATTTTGAGGCTCCCATTGTGGGTAGTGAAGAAAAGGAGGATGCAACAAGGAGAGACAGAAATCATGGATGGTGAAGGAAGAGGCTGCAAATGAGAGAAAGCAGTTTTTAAACTGTCACACAGCAATGCTCAGCTAACTGGGAGTCAGGAAAATTGAAATCATTAAGAAAATGAATTCTTTGAAAATGACCATGGAATCTCCAGTTTAAGAAAACATGGGTTCAGGAGCTACCAAATGGAGAAAAATGTAATGAATGTTAATGTAATGAACGTTTATGTAATGAACGCTATCAACTGTTAAATTTATACCTGGAATTAAGATCTGAGAAGCAATAAAAAGGGGTTGCAGCTACCTGATTAAAATGTTTTAATTAAATGCAGATGCAGTGGAAATGCATTAGTTGTGATCTCACCAGTCTTTGGAAGGTGTATTTAGGGGAAGGTGCATTATTTGTGTGTAAAGATTTGTACCAGTTATTTTGGGGAAAAAAAAAACTTTTTGTTGTCCCAATTTACCAACTTCTTTATCTTTATTCATTCATGGGATGAGGGCATCACTGGCCAGCCAACATGTATTGCCCATCCCTAATTGCCCCAGGGGCAGTTAAGAGTCAACCACATTGCTGTGGGTCTGGAGTCACATGTAGGCCAGACCAGATAAGGATGGCATCTTTCCTTCCCTAAAGGACATCCGTGAATCAGATGGGTTTTTCCAACAATCGACAATGGGTTCATGGTCATCATTCGATTCTTAATTCGAGATATTTTATTGAATTTAAATTCCATCATCTGCCGCGGCTGGATTCGAACCCAGGTCCCCAGAACATTACCTGGGTCTCTGGATTATCCCTGGGTCCAGGGATAATGCCACTAGGCCATCGCCTCCTCTCAACTGTGTTGTCTTAGAAATTAATGCTTTCTTTGCATGGCTTCAAGTTTAAAGGCAGACTGCTAATCAATGAAAATATTGATGAATTCTTCCAAAAGTGTGTCGTAGAATTTAAAAGCTTAATGACTTTGGAAGAAGAAATTCCTCCACATCTCCATGTTAAATGGGTGACCCTTTTAATTCTGAAACCACACTTCTTAGTTCTAGATTGTACCACAAGGGGAAACATCCTCAAGCCTCCACCCTATCAAGCTCCCTCAGAACTGTATGTATTTTGATAAGGTCATCTTTTGTCTAAACTATAGCCAGGAAGATCAGGTTCAGTGTCATGCTCTGAATTGGACAGAGCTGTTGTTAGACTTTGATCCTGGTCCAGAGCATCACTAGTCCTGATTGCCAGAGCTGTGCTGTGGTGGTGCATCATGATTCCCCATATTGTGAAGTGGGGTTTCACTGGGCCACTTATGATGTCCAATGTTTCTATATCACCCCCATGGCAGTTTGGATGGAGTAGTTCCTGTCCACAGTTTTCACATCATGGGTTTTTCCCATTTCCAGGATCATTCAGATAAGAAATATTGCAAAGGGCATTTTAGCTTCTCTCTTTGCTTCCTCCCACGTGATGTGCAGGAGAAAGTCTAGATCCAGTGGGGTGGAGGTGTTGTATTGGTATAGAAGTGAAATCTGATCGCTCTCCTCACCCAGCCAAAGTCAATGTGCAGGTAGTTTGGTGACTCAGTGTTTCTAAACCTTACCGTAGTTGTTCTTCTTTATCAAACTTGTGCATGTATTTTTGGAACTCCCCATTTAGAAACTCCATATTATCCCTAAACCAAAATAAATTTTTAATACGTTATTGAACATTCATTGTATTTATTAGAAAAAGTATGTCATGTCAGATTACTTCCAATACATTATCAAAATAGTTAATGATTTAAATGTTGCATCAAGTTTGGACAATTTACAAATAGAATGGAATGCAAATGAAATCAAAAGGAAATTTTCATCTTTGGGGTTTTGATAAGTTTTAAAAAATTTATTCATGGGATGAGGGCATTGCTGGCTATTTGTATTTATTTTCCAACCCTAATTGCCCAGAAGGCAGTTAAGAGTCAACCACATTGCTGAGGGTCTGGAGTCACAAGTAGGCCAGACCAGGTAAGGATGGCAGTTCTTCCACCATCTGCCGTGGTGAGTGTTGATCCCGGGTCCCTAGAACATTATCTGGGTCTCTGGATTAACAGTCCTGCGATAATACCACTAGGCTATCGCCTCCAAGTGGAGGACTTGAGACTGTTGCCGGGGAGCTGATGTAAAAGACCAAGCAAATCAAATGTTGATACAGTTACCAGATGAATTCATTAAGAATGTTTGGCTCAGCTCCAAGAACTCTAATAGACTCAGCCCAATAATGGTCTGTTTTTGCAATTGTAAAGGAGCGTACCAACTTTGTTTGATTGACATATTTCCTGATTGTTCATTATAGAAGTTTATCAATGCCTGTGTGTTTATTTGGCCAAGATTAAGAGGGATAATGTGACTTTCTGTGCCTGTGTTTGATTGACAGGTTTTTGAAAAGGTTAGAAGTTCAATGTTTTGCAAAGGAATTTTTGAATGGCTCTTTATCATGAGAATTTCAATGAGTTACCATTGCTGTTATAAGGCTCAGTTGTATACAATATTCCCTTTTTATTTTGCAGTTATGCAATTGTACAGTTGCTGAGAGGGTCTGCACATGCCAACTGGTGTGCTAGTGCAATGAAACAACTGCTGCACATGGACCTCAGAGGTACAAACAGAGGGAATGCTGGTTGTGTATCTTGTGCACTCATAGTGAAAGAGCATGGAACCGGCATGGGAGATTGGAAGGGCTATTGGAGTAATGAGGAGCATGGAGTGAATTTGGGGCAATGGGGTTTGGTGGGTGAAAGGTGAGGGCTAGTGGGTCTAACAACAATGATTATGACTGACTGATGTCCCAGTAAATGGAGGTGGCAAGAAATGTTTGCCCATTTTCCTCTTCCTATTCAAAGGATCAGTAAGGTCTTGTAGTATCTCTCTGGTCACTTCAGGATCTATGTATATAAGCAAATTTAAGAAAATTACATTTTTGATTTTTGCAGAACCATGGATTTAAACAGAAATTCAATGTATATTAAATGTGCAGAACAACACTCATTTCTATTTAATTCAGGTAAATACAGAATATTTAATAACAATTTATCCCACTGTTATTCAGTACATTATCTTACTTGTGCTTCTCTTGAAGAGACATTATCTTTTCTTCAAATTCCTGGTTTTGCTTTCTTATCTGTGACACACGTCCTTCTTTCACAGCAAGTAAATCTTTTACTACATCTAACCTGGAATATAAAAGAAAGATATAAAGTAATACTTTAGTGCAAATTATTGGGTATTGCTGAAAAAGAACACATACTGTCAAAACTTTTTGTCTGGTACTCAACAGGATTATTCGTAAGACATGTCAACATAAAAGGAAAACAACATTTATACTGTTTGAAAGCAGAGTTTTGATTGGTTGGGAAATAGACTCTGATATTGCTTTAGAAACTGCACATTTTTGATGATAACTGACAGTTAACTGCTAAGCTTTATTTAAATTTTGAACAAAGCAGGTCAATGCATTGTCCCGAGAAATTGACTGATTTTTAAAAAATTAAAATAGGCCCATAATGCATACATGTTCTTTACGCCTGCAAAGAACAGGGGCCTGTCAATTAATATATAGCTTCCAGTACATGCAAGTGTTTGCTGTTTTCTGTACAGGTTCTTGTATGCATTACTAAGAGAACTGTACTATTTCACATAGAGCATAATCTGATTTGAAAGAAAGGCCTGCATTTCTACAAAGATTTTCATATCCGCTGGACATCTCAAAACGGTACACGCAGTCAATGAAACACCTTTTGAAGAATCATTTTGTAATGTCAAAATGCGATAGCTGCAATTTATGTTTTTGTGAAAGTTTGCTGTAATGTAATAATGAATGGATAATGTAGCTTTGTGATGCTCAATGAGGGATAAATATTGCCCCGGACACACAGAATAATTCTGTTGCTCTGCTTCATAACAGTAAAGTAAAGGTAATGTCGCCACAGTCCAACCAGACTATAGACTGGTTTCTCATCGGAGAGATGACTGGTGGTGATTTAATCTGAGGATCATCACACCTCAGGTGAGGGGAGAGGCTGAGGGGGAGGGCCCTTCATGGTAACCTCAGCTGCTGTGGGAATTGATCCCATGCTGTTGGCATCATTCTGCATCGCAAAACAGCTTCTAGCCAACTGAGCTAACTGATGCCCATTCAGAGTAGTGCACTGGATCTTTTATATCTAGCTGAACAGGCAAGTAAGCCCTGGTTTAATATCTCACACAAAAGAGAACACTTCACTCCTTCTGCATTGTCCTGAAGTGTCAACCTTGGTTCTTGTGTTTAAGTCCTAGGGTGAGACTTGAACCCAGACACCACTCACAGAGTGACAGTGCAATCAACTGAGGCACAATTGACAGTTCTTGGTTCTTGTAACAAGCACTTTTTAAATAAAATTTAAGATTCTGTCAAGGATTATGATGCTACACAAACTTACCGTTGTTTCATATTCTGAAAATTTACTTTTGTTTCTAATTCATATTCCTTTGCTTTCTTCAATGCTTCATGACGTGAATCACTTGTTTGTAAAAGTCCCTCATTTAACAACTGAGCATCTGCTTTATTCTTCTTCGCCTGTAGAAAATATCATACTGTTAGGAAGGATAACAAAGGAATATCATTAGGTTAAAAAAAGACTGACAAAATTATGCTACGTTTTGAAGTAAGATTTTCTGTTTATCCTGATAATGAAAAATATAGCAAATGTCAGGATACAGTCTCATCAGTCCAGTTAAAAGAATAACAACTTCTTAATTCCTCAAGAATAAAAATGGCTGCTTAGGATTCAAATAAACAGTAAAAATATGAGCTAGATTTTATCTTTTCCAAAAATGCTAAACTTGGTGTTGTATCATAAACTGGTACAGATATGTTTTATTCCAATGAGAACTATTTAAAATTTTGCAATTCATGTGTTAGTGAACATATCATATGAGTAACTGGGTCATATAAATAAGGGAGATCTCAAGCAAAAATGCACTGAAGGTGGGTCACTACAAATGTCTTCAAAGTCCAATGTTAAATGGTCAGGTTGAGAACGTGAGCAGAACTCCAAGCCATCATATTATCCATGACCTTTGCTAAGTTTCATGTGTGCTCAGTGTCAAACAATTCATTTGAACTTAGGGCTAGCATATGAGTAATCAGAAAAGTATTAGAGGGCAGCTAGGAGCTATCAAATTGTACCATAACATTTATTCAGGAGAGGAGAGCTTTGCTCCGAGAAAATAATAGATCTTACTGGGGATGTGAACAGAGCAGAGTTTTGGTGGAGTTACATCCAAAATTTATTTTCACATGCTTGTCAAGTTTGAATAGTATATAAATGATGATTTTAAGCATCATAAATATTATGATTTGCTGATCATCACAGTCTGCAAAAACACCTGTTATAAAGCTTAAATAAAACATTTCAGGAATTTTGAGTCAAATGCAATTGGAGTTCCAGCATATACTGGCTTCATTAAACATTTATATTAACTAGGCAGAGCCTCAGTCTGGATGCAGTGTGCTAGTGTTCTAAACGGTGGTATAAGACATGGGATTCTTGACTGATTGGTTAAATGGGATGCTGAGGCTGGAGATAAAACCCCAACTTTCACAGAGGTGGCTCTACAAAATTCAAGGACTAGGTGCCAAGCTATTTTCAGAGTTATTGAGGCATCCACCTAACTAAGTAGCCCAAATGTGTTGAGCTCCATCAGCCAAAGCTCCCACAAAAGGAATGCTAATGGAGACATTTAAATTTGGTCTTTCTCCAGTCCTAATTAACAAAGAACCTTCAAATAATGCTGGTCTAGATGTTCACCATTATCTTACAAAAACCTGCTGCTTGCAAGTATACACTTCGTCAATGACAAGGTAGTACTGGCAGATGCTTCTGTTTGTAATATCAGTCTGTTGGTTCTCCCTGACATCGACATGGAAGTGGTAATCTTAAGGAGAGTTAATCCCCTCTTCCACTGATTGCAGAAACCTGATAAATAGCTGAGGGAGATGAAGACTTGCTCCAAAATGTGCAAAGAATATAAAACATTTCCACACCGATAGGGACAGTGATTTGTGCTTTGCTAAAAGCAAAACGCTCAAACTTTCAGTGATTCAGCACAAATTATATTTTTAAATATCAGTCAGAGCAGAAAGAAAAGTATTTATAGAGTTTTCACAATTTCTCCTTTTGTGGAACAATTAACTGAAATGGAAGTGGGACTGCAATGATTCAAATGCCAGAACTTAAATCAAGTGAATCAAGTTAATGTGAATGGCGCCTTTGTACAGCAACAGGACACACTTTTCAGAGGTGGCTCTACAAAATTCAAGGACTAGGTGCAAAGCTATTTTCAGAGTTATATTGAATACACGTGACAATAAAGGATATTCTGTTCAAGTGCTGCATATTGTTGAGCTGAGAGATACTACGAGTAGATTTTTACGCAAATTATCACTCTGCCTCTTCTTTTCTTTTATAAAACTAGAGAGCTGCACATTTGTGATGGGACTCCTTCAGAAATACAGAGCAGTACATCCATTCTGAAAGTTCGTTCATCGCACAGAACTTTTGGGGTAGACAAACCAGGCCCCTAAGTGCTGCAGTCAGCTGGTGTACTCTGATGTGTAAAGGTCTAGAATTACAGATGGCAGCTGACAAGTGGCAAGTTTAAAAATTAAATGTCAGCTTAGAATGCCAGGAGAGTAGGATGTCAGAGAGTCTGGGGAGAGTGTAGGATGTCTAGTAGGTAGGAGCTAGGGTACTGGGGTGAGTAGGTTGAGGTTTGTGGTGCAAGGTAACAAGGGACTCAGAAAAGTGGTCCATTTAGTGAAGGTCTGTGCAGCTGAGAGATATTGGGGCTGGCAGGGGATGGGGGAGATGGACATCAGGTCTGAGGGTTTGGGATGGGTCTGACAGTGAGGGAACTTGGGGAATTTGAGATTGAGTAGCACCAAGGGTCTTTTGAGTTAAGGAAATTTTGCCTGACATCAGTCTTCTCACTGGTTGAAGCTCCAGGGAAGCAGAGAAGCCAAACCTGCAAGTGGAGAGTGTGTGTGTGTGTGTGTGTGTGTGTGTGTGTGTGTGTGTGTGTGTGTGTGTGTG